TGATAAAGAAAGAAAAACACTGTCTCCGAACAGTTTATTGCTGTTTACGGATAATGATCAAAATCTAGAAGGTCTCACAATTACAGAGAGTTACAAAAGACGATGGAGATAAGTGAGTCATTTCACTAATACTCATGCTGGCGAATTGTCCGAAGCGACTGCTAGCGACCTTGGTACCGTTTTGGATGAATTTTGTTGACTCGGCGAAATTGTTTTCCATCCTTAAACGGCCAATACTCACCACCTCTTCCGCCCGTCGCTGTTGTATGTCAGACGGCAGGCATCGTACTATCGCTTCGAGTTTGTTCAGGGCATTTAAATCTAACTCGTAATTCATTTGAGTCAGAACAAAAAAACAGTTTCGCATCTTCATTACGAGTCGCACCAACGATTCCGGTTTGTCTTTCGCTTTACGGGCCTAGACACGCACTTCGTCTAGGAGCGTCTATGCCACGTGAAACGGTTGGCCAAACAATTTCTTTAGGATGTCCCTCACTCGGCTATACCCAATTTCGTTTGGCAGCATGAAACATTCTTCGATAGCGTCTCGGGTATTAATGCTTTAGGTACAGGAACTTCTGCCCGGGATCGGCGACTCGGCACTCGACGAAATTATCGAATTCTCTAATAAATCTCCAATAGTTGCTGGGGTTCCCTTTGAATGGAGTTAGATCCACCTTGGGCAGATCTATCGACGGGTGACGGTACATTACTTCGATCGGGGGTTGAGCCCCTTCCGGCATCAGTCTAATGGGCAGGGTTTGCTTTTCCGTCGCGGTGTGCCTAGTCGAGCAAGATTGTGTAGCCTCTGATTCCCTAAGCCTCATTGACCTAATCTCCTGCTCTAACTCTACAATCATATGCAGATATATCAGACATCTTAAAGTCAGCATCACAATCTAAGGCAAATGAACTTCTTGCACTAACAGGACTAACTGAATTATAAGTGTAAGAATCAGAACCCCTCGAATTCCCTATTGACTTGCCAAGTTACTTCCTGTCCCTCCTTCTCAATCCTTTCTTGTTACAATTTGCACGAATTTGAGAACTGTGCCTCCCAAATAGATTACGAGCAACGCGTAGCCGAATTCGGGTCCCAAACCGTCAATGAAACGAACGATCCAGCATGTTTCTACGGTACTACAATAGTAAACGATCAAATAAACAAATAAAATGTGCACAAACCGCAAAGTGATCTCGAAACAACTTGAAAACAAGAGCCAAGTGATACTGTGTGCGTAATTTAATAAATCTGAACGAAAGAAATGAGTCTGCATAAGAATAGCGCGCTCACCGTCACGCTGCACTCAAACGAGTCAAATGTGAGCGGTCAGGTCGCGCTTAAGACAAATAGGGTACGAATGAAGCAGTAAAACAAACAAAGTCGGATAGTGGAATCGATGTGTAAATATACACGGCAGGTGGAACGTCAAGTGTCTATGTAATAATAATAATAATAATAAGTGTATATTTCACGGAGCCCCGTGAGGCATGCATAG